GTTCAAAACATCTGTTGAGCTCCTTGTTTCTCCTTAAAAATATACTTATAGCACCAAGTAATTGTATTTAGGTGATGTTTTGGGTTAGTGTAGCCTAAAGTTCATAGTCATAGTCGAAAAGTTCGTCTACTATATCATAAATACTTAAGTCTTAAATGAAAGATATATGAGTAGAGCTCTTACGGATTGACTTTCCAACGACTAACGAGTTATAATTTTTATAAGGATTTAACGCCAATATCTAAACTTTATAAATATATATATTATACAACAGCTTCTCTGGTGGCTTGCCGAGCTTCTCCTCTCATGATATAGTAAATTCATTGAATATAGGTATTCCTGAAATATGTGAAAAGTAGTCTCTCTATATACGGGACGAGCTGGAGCCTATCCTTAGTCGATTTTTTTCTGCTCCATATCAAAGTTGAAAAATTCCAACTAACAATATTTCAGAAGATTTTATATGAAAGCCTTCTCATGCCTGAAAGACCTCGGGTTTACCAGGTCTCCAAAGTTAAATTTTTCATATTGAACCCCTGAATATCTTCTCATTTGGAAGAGAAGAAATGCTGCCTTTGAAATAAGGATCAATACGTGACCAAATTTAGATAACATTGCGATTTTCTGAGTTTGGTTTTGGACTTAAAGCGAAAGGTTCCAGAATAATAATAAATCTAGTTGAAATAAATTATTTTATCTTTGCATTATTGTTCAAAAATGAACATGTGCGTTAGGGCCACAAAGGCCCCACTTAGACGGCGTGCAGCAATAAATTTAGTTTTATTATTTTTCATATTAAGATAAGAAACACGTTAGAATATACAGTTCACTAATCCTAAATATGTATGTTCAAATATATTTAACAGGCATACATACATACATAAGCAAACACATAAACAAATATACACTCATATGATAACTTGTAGACCTAAGATATATATTTAGGCAATTGATTACAAGTGCACTGTGCACTTAAAAACAATTCCATAACATGTAGCATAAACAATGTGCTACATACATACGGACATACACACACACACATGTATTGAGTTGTACTTAAAAAAAACCCTATGTGGTGTGCATGCCACATACACATATACATATATATACATTTAATTAGATAGTAAGATTTGTAAATAGTATATAAGCCATACATTTCATAAAATAAAATTAGAATGAATAAGTTCTCAGCTCAATGAAGTCTTTTTCTGTCCCCCACCAGCGGTAAGGCAATTAGAATCTTCATTGAGTTTAATAATTGGTCTTACAAATCAATTATACAATTATATTGAATTAAATAATACATTCAATGCATGGTTAGAATGATCCGATATATTATTTACGATTTCAAATATGCTCTGTTTGGGTCGATAAATTGTTACTATTTTGAAGATAGTTTCGTAATGCAACTCTCATAATATCCCTCGTCCCTATAAGGAAAACTGGGATAGTAGATTTTCACAAACTTCTCCTGAGTCAAATTTTTCACCAGCAAAAGCAGTCACTCTACACAGAAACAGTTGGTAATCACTTGATGTCATTTCCGGACTTGAAGATGGACGCCTCCCAAACATGCACCTGGATCTCCTGGCAAGTTACTATCGATGTATGCGTCCTGGCGTTGTCCTTATGAAATAAAATTCCTCTCCTATTGACCAAACTGGGGACTTCTGGGCGACTACCTACTTTAGACGTTTCAATCGTTGATAGTACATGCCCATATTAAGAGTTTGTCCGTAAAGAAGCAGCACATTGTAGATGGTTCTACACAAATCCCACCAAACAGATAACAAAACTTTCCTGACTGTCAATTCTGTCGAGCTCCTTTTTGCTGCCTTATTAAAATGGATCCAAATGTTTTTTTGTGCAATGTTTAACTTCTGCGCAATGAGCACAGTGGTCACATGGTGGTCAGACTCGACGATTTTCATTACTTTATCGATATTATCGGCAACTGGCCTTCCAGAGAGTGATGGAATTCCCTCCTTCCCTAAGTTTTTGTGATCATTGTAGTATCAAAGCGTGCTTTGTTTTATTATGAATTTACTCCAGCCACAAGTGTCCAAGCGTATCAATATTTCTTCCTAAATTGACGCAAATTCTTCGAATGCCCTGTGCATTTGATAAATTTCAATAATTCTATAAACACATAAATTAATTAACTAATTATTTGCAGTCAAACTCATTATGTCGCCATTTAAATCATAGGTAGGGTTTGACCCGATGTACTATATAAATATGTATATATATACAGATAGAATGTGGTACAAAGCAGCATAATTATGCCACTGCTGCTAATTAACAACGGTGTGCCTGATTGTTTTACGTTGAAAATCTCATTAACTGATTTTATCATTGGTGGCCCGATTGGTTTGATCATATTGTCTTTGCAGCCAAAGCTAACAAATTGCAACAAATTCATAAGCAAAGCCATCAAGTAATGGCCGGGAGGGCATGGAAGTAGTGCTTTTAGCGTGTTGTTGGCATTTGTGAGCGATGTGCGTGTGATTTCCAAGAATTCGCATTCCAAACACCCAGCAAACATTTTTTTAAAGCAAATATTATAGATGAATATGCCTAATTGACATGTGATACTTTGGGCGTAGCGCCACATAACGTGTTTTTTGGTCAGCTCGGCCATTCTGAAATATTTTAAAATGTTCCGTTTAGTAATTTATGAAAAAAATTCTAAAAAGTTAACTTAAATAAATACTAAAACATGTTTATATAGAAAAATATATAGGTTTAGGGATTATATTGTTCAAATTTTATCTGAGCATTGTTGTGACTTATTGGGAAAAATTAATTTACTGAAATTCATAACATAAAAAAATAATATACGAGTAGTATGTTTTATTGAAAAAAAAATCAAAAAAGGGTTGCCACCTGTTCGAAATTTTTTACTTTAATACATGTAAAGCTTGAAGACTTGTTTTAAGTAAATAATTTGGTAATAAAATATCATTAAAAGGGAGAGCTGCCTTTATTTGGAGAGGTATGTTTTTCTTCAAGAGTACATTTCATTTTATTCGTATCTGTTCAGATATCAGCATTAAAACAAAAAAATTTATTAAACTGGCTTACTGGGTTGCTTAAAGTATTGTTTGTATTTTCGATTTTGACACTTAAGCCCCTTGTGGCGGCTTCCTTGCCTATACACTAGTTGCGTCTTGTGCCCTCTTTGCATAAACATACCTACATACTTGTAACATTCCGCCCACTGGCGACATCTTTTGTTTGTCACTAATATCTACTTAGCTAATATTGCTAAAGTTCAGCTATGTAACTGATATTCACGATTCGACGGTTGTGGCTATTAGGCGTTAATTGATTAGGTCAATAAAAAGCCAAATTTACCTAGGATCATATGCGTTTATTAAATTAGTCAGCCTGTTTAAGCGTGATAAATATAGCACGTAAATAAGTAAAACAAAAGTTGAATTTAGTCGATATGTCGATGGAGGTACGATATCAAGTAAAGTTGAACAGATATGGTTCGAAATTGGATTATATCGTCTCTCTATGTTTACTTAAAACAGGAGGCTATAAAACCGTTCGGGGAACCTTATATGAACATATAATGATAAATCATTGGGGATACCACTTAACTTTAAAGTCTACCTATGTACGATGTTATAGGATAAAAATTAAGCTTGGATGTCTTCTTCGATTAGTAAAGGGTCATCAGAGTTCATGATACCACTGATGCCGAATAGCACTTATTTCTTGAATCTCTTGAGAACACTTTGCGAACTCACACCTTTGTTCAATATCTTCCATGTGCTTAATATTGTATATAAATTATATGAGTATTAGGGATTCTTTGAAGGGGTTCGATCGTCGGAAGTGAGTACTATTTTCTGTACACATTTGAGCCCAGGATAGCAATTGCTTATTACATTGAACTTCTATTTGGTATTGTGTTTAAAGTAAATTGTAAGCCGTATTGATGGTCCCGCAAGAAGCAATCAGTAAATCGTGTCGAATAAGCACTCTCTAAACAGAGCGCTCTTATTCCTTCATATTAGTAAGCCCTCGCCTTTATTTAACTCTTATACACATGTATATTTTGTAGTATGAGCTTAAGATATCATTTATTTTTGATTTGATTTGTAATCTTCTGTTAGTATTCCGTAAAGTAAGGAATTAATGTTTAAAGTATCTCTATTCTGCTCAGCTATTTAGACTGGATCTGTTGGCCAACAATCAAACAATTGCAACTAAGGATCAGCTCGTTCTCAAACCAGGTTTAAACTGTTCTCTTACGAATCCTTGACTGGCCTTTGGAATCTGGAAAAAAATATATTTTAGAATTTCTGAGAAAACATATTATTTCCAAGAGTTTCCTCGCCATTTAAGATTAATATTTTTTAAAGGTTTTTTCTGCTTTTTATAACACTTCACATCTATTTTTGTATAAAATCTTATTAGAAGTGTTATCAAAAGAACATACATTTGCCAAAAACATATCTTATTAGAAATATAATACAAAGCTTTTATTTTGTGATAAGAGAGCTTTCGAATTAGCCGACAGAGGGCGTCTCAATTATGCTCTCTAAAGAGAGAATGATGTTAAATGGATAACAAATTCCTGGATACAAACTCTTATACGATGTTAAGAGAGACAAAGAATTGTTGATATAATAAAGAGAGTACATACTCCACACAATGTGAAAACGTAAATGGAGAATCTAAACAATATGGTTGGATAAAAACAGGGATTGTTTACTTTTCGCGCACGGAAATCAACATTTTTTACTACCAGCACATTCTCTTGATTTAGTTCCGGCAATATTGCGCTCTTATTAGCATTTGTGCTCCTATTGTCAGACATTTTCACCACAGCTGAGTTGAGTAAATTTTTTTGTTGCCAATAGTAACATCCTTTATGCCGGATGCTGGCGCTCATTTCCCGCAAACTCGTTGTTCGTGAGTTGTATTGCGAGAAAGTGTCCAGCGTAGTAACTCGTGCGTACGCTGCAACTCTCACATCACGCTTAAAGGCTATCTGCTGCGCCTGGTATCGTTCGCCAATTGCTCATTGCTCTGGTGCTAGAGAGCAAAGCATCCGTCCGTATTGGGCCAGACGAATTGGTAAAATTGCCGACTGGCAATGACAACGTCTTCTATTTAACATCAAGGGATAAATCCCGAAATTGCTCAGTCTGTTTTTGTATACGGGCGTTAAATGTTCGTTGAGCGGCGGAAGTGCGTCGGCTGGTTTCTTTCTACTTTATTTTTGTTGGCAATTTACAAGTGAATTTGTTTTGCAAGCAAATCCAAAGTGCTATGGTCGGTAATTACTATGAATTTCTACACAATAAATATAAATAAAAATGAAAAAAAGAAAATATAAATTCTATTTGTATGTATGTACACAGTGTGAAAATGGTGTGAAGACAAACCGTTGCAAAGAAAACACATTTCAGAAAGTCTAAATTAAAAGTGCACACTCCCCTCGGGCCTCAGTTAGCAAAAAAAGGTTGCTAATAAAATAGATAAAGACAACATACTTTAGCAGAACTTGTGCCCCACCCCCCACGCTACTAAATATCTAGCAACTAGCTGGCTTTGCTCGAGCAACTGCCTGTAGCTGTTGACTTGCGTCACGGTGCCTTGGTTAGGTTGTTCCGCTATAAAGATAAAAATCTCATATCCTTTGAAGTTTTATTGCGCGGCGCAGCAAAGTGAAAATAAAATAGACGCCAGCGCGGCAACATTAAATAGCCGAACAACTTGATTAGGCGCAAGAAAATGCGTGCGAAAATACAATAATAAAAAGCGAAAAGAAACCTAAAAGTAAATGAGTTAAATAATATTTAAAGGAAATTGAAAGTGAGCATTAAGAGACCAAAGAAAAGGAAATCGCAAAGAATGTGATTGCGAAAGTGAAGCATTGTGTGCGTGCGAATGTATGCGAAGCTTCAGATTTTTATACTTGTAGTAACAACAACTAAGTAAGCACAAGCAAGTATGTGTGTGGGTGTGTTGGCTCTGTGAAACTAAAGAAATTGCAAGCGACAACAACAATGCTTTTGGGAAATCAAAGGCGCAGCTGTTGTTTTCTTAAGTGCACTAAAACACAACAGAGAGGAATTATAATAAATATAAAATAACAGTAAAGAAAAAAGATAAACAGAAAGGGTGCAACAAAACGAATGTCGCGAAAAGAAAAATAACATAACAATATGAATTCAAGTGGTGGAAAAGCGAAAGCAAAAATATTAGGTAGAAGAAGTTTGCAAGAAATAAATTTTAAGTTATATTACATATTTAACATTTTTTACCACACTAATTTAAAACTTCAAAAAGTATTTAAAATATTAAATTTTCATTAAATATTAAAATTTCATTGTATTTCAATTTTTATTTCCAAATTTTGCAAATTATAACATCTTTAGCAAAAAAATTATTTTTGTAATACATTAAATTTTTTTTTTTTTTTTTGTGATCCAACTCTGCTCAAGAACGTAGAAGACTACAAAGTTGCCATTCATCAGACCTTCAATTTCTATTCTATTATTCTCAAACTTGGAATGTTACTTCTAAATTCTATTTTCATTTAAATAAGAAACATCAGAAAAAACAAAAATTATAATAAGAAATTCTTATGTTTCACATTATAAAATAAATTAAGTATTAAAAGCCATAATAAGCTAAAATAAAAAAATATGTATAAAAAATTGTTTAAAAGAAAAGTTAAATAAAATAAAAAAATTATAAAAAAATAAAATAAGATATAAAATAAATTAAGAGAAAAATAAAAATAATCAAAAATGACTATTTTTCGAAATCAAAATTTGAAAAAAGTAGAAATATTTTTTGAAACCCTACAAAAATAAAAATTGAAAATTTGCATGAATAATAGAAAGACACCAAAACTCTTTTAAGAAAATAAACAATAAGCAGAAAATTTTATATTACTTCAGAAATACTATTTATGCGTTAGATTTAATTTAGTTTTATTTTTACTTTGAAATTTGACCAATGAAAAAACTTTTCACATAAAAACGTAAATAAATCCCAAGAGTCTTAAATATTTGTTACTTTCATAAGAAAAGCTTCGATTAAAAAAAAAATTGAACTGTTTTTCGTAAACATGTTTTATTAAAAAAAAATTAATGAAATAAAAAAGGTTGTTATTAACACTTTATTTAAAAAAAAGTAATCGTTACAAACAAAAAAAATAAATACATATATAAAAGGAAGTATAATTATTAATTATGAAAACCAAAAGTAGCGGGTAACAAAACACAGTTCAAAAGTTATTGACACAACTACAAAACATATAAAACTGATTTCTAGTTGCAATAAAAATAAAAAAAAAATAGTCAAAATTAATAAAAAAATATTTATATCTCTGATAACTCTCACAAAACTATATAGTTTATAAAAAATAAATTGAATTTCTTCGAAAAAATTCTAAACTAAATGCACACATTGACTTGTGTTTGTAGTGTTGTGGCTACTATGTTTTTACATGCCATGAATAAACAAATAATAATGGATAAACTTATATAGACATAAGTGCATATTCTTGTTTGAAATATATGTAGTCTATTAACGGTTTGTACGTTCTAAAAGTGTGCATATGTGTGTGCAAAAAAGAGGCACTCAAATAAATAATTTTGAAAATATGCTGTGTTTTTAAGTGAAAGTGCAAAAAACCAACCAAAAATGAAATATGAAAACCAATATTTTGTATATTTGAATATTTGTGAAAATTTGTGAAATTTTGCCGATGATTTGTTTCTTTTTTTCGTTTTTATTTATTTTCCATAGAAACTTGCATACCAGATATGTTTATGTATGATATCATGTGTGTGCCTTTTTCTAAACATATATAGTTCAACTTCTTTTACTTAAGTTGTTTTTAACTAATATTATGAGTTATTTGGGCCAAACAAAAATGTCTAATGTGTTAAACAAGTGGAATTATTCTCAGTGTGAAGCAGTCGGCGCAGTAGGTTTGGACGTCGTGCATGTTGTGTCACTAACAGAATTATATCTGCGAAGATTATTTAAATTTTGATAAATCCTCTTAGGGTCATATTCTTGAAAGGTTAAGCTTCGAAAATATGACAAAACAAGTTATTTACCATTATAATATATTTTTTTTTGTTTTTTGCAAATGTGTGCCCAATTTATCACATGAGCTTCTTTTGTAAATAATTTTCATATGAGAAAATATAAACAATTTTGTACCTTTATTTCGTGGCATAGCAGTCATTTTAATTCTTTGAAATCGAAATTTAATATTAGGTAGAGTGGTTATCGTACGACGCACTTAGAACTAACAATTTGATATTAAATCTTTGTATATTTTCGCCGAGATAAAAAATCGTATTTTTTTGGGGGAATTATGAACTCCTTAAACGATCCGCCATTTCACTTAGAATCCCGTTGCATTTCAATTTGTGCATTATACGTTTCGTAAACAGTGAAACAAAAATTTTTAATATTTTTTCAACAAGAGCACGATATCCATTATTCTAATTTATTATTATTGCCAGGCTTACATACATTTTTGATTGGGTTAGCATATATACATACATATGGTATATCCTCTTAATTTGATTTTAAATTTTGTTTGCAATTTTTTTCCGGAATATACAATACATATAATATGAGTTTTCCTGCGTTGTTTTTACTATGTTTTCAATCCTAGATTGTACCTCAAATTCAGTCCTTAAGTTTTTGATATACTGATCTAGAAATTTGCAGATGTACTTTTCTCCGCAAGAAGTTGCTCATTTTTCGGTATCGCCGATATTGCATCACTATAACATATAGCTGGCATATAAACTGAACTTTCAAAATCGAGGAATTGTATGGAAAACTGTTTTATTTGACGAGATATCTTCTTAAAATTTGGCGCAGATTTTTTTCCAAGGCAACGCTACATTCTCCGAACAAATTATTTAGAGCAGACCACTGTAGAATATAGCTGGCATATAAACTGAACCATTAAAATCTAGCCTTGTATAGAAAACTTATTTATTTTACAGGGTATCTTCACAAAATTCGGCAACGATTATTGTTATAGAGAACGTAATAATCTAATAATGATTTGTTCAGATCGCACTAATATAGCATATATCTGTCATACAAACTGACCGAATCGAGTTCTTAAATGTATATTTTCTTTTTGTGAAGGGTATTATAGCTTTGGTACAACCGAAATTAATGTTTTTGCTTGTTGAGTTTTTATTCTGCGCCTCCTTCTCTGTAAAGATAGGGTTTTCATATATTTTCTGAAACACTATAAAAATAGAAGCTTTTTTCTCGATTAGACAGAGTATTTTTAAGATAATATTGATACTGATTATTGTCTGAAATATAGCAAACATTTATAGTTAAAGCTTCAATCTGTTTTTACAAACCGTAAATATTTATCGATTTGATAATATAATATATAAGGGGAACTCCCAAAAAAATTTGACCCGAAAATAATTTATGTCGAAGACTTCAGGTGAAGCAAGTATTTATTTTGGATAATCTTTTGAACTCACTAGGAGTTCTAAAAGTTTTAATAGATAGTTATTGTAGTTGGTAAATATTTAAGGGTAAACTTTTTTTTTATCAAAACTTGTATAAAAGGGGGATATTATTTTTTACAATTTTGTTACGAATCCTAATTAAAAAGAGTTAAACTTTCAACTTCTCATTTACTTATAAAAAATTTCTAGAAATAGCAAAATAAAAATCTATCAACTATCTACTTTTCTCTACAGTAAATTATCCCTATATGCAGCATACCCGCTTCCATCATAGACTCAACTCATCCTTCGAACTCCAACAACCACAATGCAAATATCTCTAGCTCGAGGGTGTAGAATGAAAAATGAAAAACGCAAATCACATACAAAATCAAATAAAATAGAAAATCAATGTTAAAATTGGCGTGAAAAAATGTTAAATACAAATAAGTGACCAGCAATTCTGCCGTGAAGCGAAAAATGAATTACACAGCATTGCCACGTTCGCAACCAAGCGACACTAAATCGCATAATGCACACAGATAAAAATCACATGAAAAGCAACAGCAAACAGCAAAGTAGTAGAATACAAAATGGCACAAAAAGATTGTCCTTGAAAAAATGTGTGGAGTAGTAATAAAACGAAAAGTAAGGGTTGCACGTGGCAATGAAAAGTGCGACTGACAAAAATCACTGACGTGCTGTGGCATTTTAATTTTGTTTATCGTGGAAAAAGGCGATAAAAAAAACGTAAAGACATAACAGCCAGTCAGTCGAGCAAACTCAAATGAATCATTTGAGTCGACGATTGAG